TAGAGCAGATTATGCTAAGTGAAGCTAGCCAATCCCTAAAAAAAAAATGCCAAATGTCTTCTTTGATATAATGAGAGCAACTAAGAACAGAGCAGGGAGGAAGAGCAGGAGGAAAAGATTAAAAAAAATGTATGCAGCTATCCTCCAATCAAAAGCTTTCTTATCTAAGGGCTAAAATGTAGCTCAGTGGTAGAGCACTTGCCTAGCATGCTCAAGGCGCTGCGTTCAATCCCCAGTACTGGGGAAAACAAAAAGAAGTTTACTTATCACAACTTTTCATAGCTTCAAATATTTCTGATACTGTATGTATGTGTGTGTGTCCTGCCAATTATATTCTCTTTGCTATTCCAATTATGTTTCTTATACAGCTGGACTTCTGCCTTTATTTTCTTAAACACATATGAGAAAGAGATGCTTGAGGAAAGAAAGGGATCATGTTGCTGTATGCTCTAGCTGTTCAGTCTTGAGCTAAAACCCTGCCTTCCGCCAAATGATCTAGGCCCTCCCCTCTTGTGGAGGTAGAGGCTTCCTGAAGATTAACATAAAGGAGGTTGATGAAAATTTGCAAGAGAAGGACTTTATTATCTGGGTATAAAAGAAATAGCATTAACACTTGAGTGCATTGAGGAGGGGTTGGCAAATACAAGATTTTATTTAATACTTCATGTAGACATGTAAACCAGCATTTCCAAAGCGTTTCTCAAAACACTGACCAAGATGAGGTCAAGTAAAAGGCTTCCCATCACCACATGGAAAGTTTTAAGGAAGCAATGAACAGGTTTCTCTGCTACAGTGCTTCCTCAGAGCTTAGTCTGAAAAGTTTACAGTCATTCTCAGGGAGGGAAAATTAACTGACAGCACTAACCTCCCTGACCATGGACTCATTTTCTACAGACATCCTCTTCAAACGTCTTTTCTGGGGAAAATAACTAAAACATATTAAACTTCTTCTGGCCAACTAATTAAAAAGCAAGAATACTTGGTTAATGTTTAATCAAGTACCTTGTGTGACATTTTCAATTCATAAACTATATGTGACTGTGTAATAGTTACATACACCGTCATATACTTAAATATTTGTTTTTATATGACATCTCAGGGTAGTAACTTCCTATGATAACTTTAATTAGGTTTATATTTAAGCTATTTGTATTCACATTTTGGCTGTTTTAATTGAGATTTGGTATTGATACTAAGATTCTCTTATCTCTCTCTGCCCTTATTATTTCAGGTAATTAACTACATCTGGATTCACAGAATAACATGATAGACTTTTATTAATGTTCCACTGTATATTCAAGGTTACAAGCAAAGGAGCTATCCAAGGATCTCTGCTGATTCCTTCAAATTTCCTAATAAAATAAATTTAATTCATCATATCAACAGAATTAAAGATAAAAATCATATGATTACCTTAATAGATGCAGAAAAAGCATTTGAGAAAATAGAGCATTCATTCATGTTCAAAACACTAGAAAAATTAGGGATAGTAGGAACATACCTCAACATTTTAAAAGCTACCTATGCTAAACCCCATTTCTAAATGGAGAAAATTTGAAAGTATTCCCTTTAAAAACTGGAACAAGAAAGGGATGCCCGCTTTCACTACTTCTATTCAACATAGTCCTTGCAACTCCAGCCAGAGCAACTGAACAGACAAAAGAAATTAAAGGGAAAAGAATAAGAAGAGCTCAAATTATCCCTATTTGCTGACTACATGATCCTATATTTAGAAGATTAAAAAACTCCACTAGAAAACTTCTAGAACTCATAAATAAATTCAGCAAAGTAGCAGGATATAAAATTAACACCCATAAATTAAGTGCATTCCTATACACCAATGATGAATCAGCTAAAAGAGAAATTAAGAAAACTATCCCATCCACAATAGCATCAAAAAAAGAAAATAAAATGCTTGGGAATCAATCTAACAAAAGAGGCAAAATACCTCTACAACAATGAAAACCACAGCAGAACACTAAAGAAAGAAAATGAAGATCTTAGAAGATGGAAAGATCTCCCATGTTCTTGGATAGGCAGAATTAATACAGTCAAAATGACCATACTACCCAAAGCACTATACAGACTCGATGGAATTCCTACTAAAATTCCAATGATTTTCTTCATAGAAAGAGAAAAAAGGAGTCATGAAATTCATTTGGAAAAATAAGAGACCCAGAATAGCCAAAGCAATCCTTAGTGAGAAAAGTGAAGCAGTAGGCATCATAATATCAGAACTTAAATTATGCTACAGAAGTATAGTAACAAAAACAGCATGGTTTTGGCACCAAAACAGACATGAAGGCCAATGGTACAGAATTGAAGACACAGAGACAAACTCACATAAATATATTTATCTCATACTAGACAAAGGCCCCATAAACATGCATGGGAGAAAAGATAGCCTCTTCAATAAATGGAACTAAGAAACCCATAAGTAACAGAATGAAATTTAACACCTCTCTCTCATCACGAAACTCAAAGCAGATCAAAGACCCAGACATTAGACCAGAGATCCTGCCCCTGCTAGAAGAATATAGGCCAAAATTTCCATCACGTCAGCTTAGAAAGGGACTTTCTTAACAAGACTCCTAAAGCGCAAGAAGTAAAACCAAAAATCAACATGGAATAGTATGAAAAGAAAAGGCTTATTTTCAGCAAAGGAAACAATCAGTAATGTGAAGAGGGAGCCTACAGAATGGTAAAAATATCTTTGCCTCCTGCACCTCAGAAAAAGCATTAATCTCCAGTTCTTTAAAGAACTCAAAAAACTTAACACCAAAAAACCAAATAACCCATCAATAAATGGGCAAAGGAACTGAACAGGCATTTCAAAGAAGAAGAAAAAGAATGGTCAACAAATATATGAAAAAATGTTCAATGTCTCTAGCAATTAGAGAAATGCAAATTAAAACTACACTGAAATTTTTCTCACTCCAGTCAGAATGGCAATTATGAAGAATACAAATAATAGTAAATATTGGTAAGGATGTGGGGAAAAAGGTACACTCATACATTGCTGGTGGGACTGCAAATTGGTGCGACCAATCTGGAAAGCAGTAGGGAGATTCCTTAGAAAAACCTGGAATAGAACCACCATTTGACCCAGTTATCCCACTCCTAGGTTTATACCCAAAGGACTTAAAATCAGCATACTAAGTAATGTAGCCACATCAATGTTTATAGTAACTCAATTCACAATAAGCTATGGAACCTTCCTAGGTGTCCTTCAACAGATGGATAAAGAAAATGACACAAACACATACACCCCCCACACACACACCCCACACACTGGAATATTAGTCAGCCATAAAAAAGACTTTATGGCTTTTGCTGGCAAATGGATGGAGCTGGAGACTATCATGCCCAGTAAAATAAGCCAATCTCAAACAAACAAACATACAAAAAGGCCAAATATCTCTCTGATATCCAGATGCTAACACACAATAAGTGAGGGACAGTGGCAGAAGTTCATTGGAAGAGGGAAGGGTATAGCAGTTCACTGGATTAGACAAAGGGAAATGAAGGGAACAGAAAGGAGATGGGAATAGTAAAGACAGCAGAATGAATCAGATACGTGAATATATGAATATACGATGAGTGAAACCCCACCTCCTGTACAACCACAATGGGATCCTAATTAGAGCAGTAATACTCCATGTAAGCATAATAAGCATAATATGTCAAAATACACTCCACTGTCATGTATATATAAAAACAACAAATTTTTAAAAAAGAATAAAAGTAAAAATGATTTCCTAATGAAAAATTATTATCCCAGTGACCAGTAATAATCAAGAGACTGGAAGCAGTTATTTGCTTCCTTAAGTGCTTTTTATCTAGGGAGAGAGGAACTCACCTATCAAAAGAAAAATGAATACTGGCAAGGTTGTAAAGTTCAATGATAAATCTGTTAAACCTGTTAAAATGATAAATCTAGGTACTTACATTTAAACAACAGAACTTAATTATGACTTCAACAAGTATCATAAAATACCAAGTTCCCTATATTAAATTCATGAATATTACATATTTTATAAGGCTGGAGGAAGTTCTTAAAAGTTAGGCATTTAAGCACAAATGTATTTAAATAAAATTATAATTTTATTTCAAGCTGCAACTGTTTTCATATTCTTTACAGGGAAAGACTAGAACTAAAAAAGGAAGAAAATTATTTCAAAAATATGTTCTTGCAACTTAATATTTTCTGCAGTGTCAGAAAAAGAAGTATATTGCTATTCACAAAAAAAGAAATGGCTTTTGTAAAGAAACTTTGATTCAAATGAGTATGTTTTACGTATAAAGAAAACTCTCATAAATATGTATGTGTGTCAATTTTGACTGAATGGAAATTTGTTTATCATAGTTCTTTTAACTTGCACTAACAATACAGGTATCTTTTAACTGGCAAATCATAACTTGGCAAGAATATAATTACATACCACCAACCACTTACCTTTCTTTCTCTTGCTGGTTTGCTTTATCACTTCCATTATTAATCAAAGCAAGTTCATCCAACAATGATGTAGATTCCTTTGTAAACTTCTCAAAAACCTACAATATGAAATTTTATTAATATACTAAGAATAGTCTTAAAAATTATTATGCAATAGGATTTTCAGTTAAGAGCCGTAATATTAACCAGGATTCCCTTTCCTTCCCAGGAAGTCAATTCAGTTCAATCACAAGAAAGCACAGAACACAAAGCCGCATCCTAAACAGTGAACAGTTTCAATGCAAAAGGGGTTTTTAAAAAGGAACATTAACAAATTATTCTGATCCTTCATTCAGACAAGTTTATTTTTATCCTTGTGTTTCTTGGAGAAAATCTGTAACACCAAATTTCGTAACTATATAATGTTACTTAATCCAGTTCAAGTGCTTTTATTCTAGTTGGATATTTCTTCCTCTTATTCTATCAACAGTTCACAGTGGTTTAGAGTTTTACAGGTAAGCATGTTACATGAAAATAAATTCATTATAATTCTAACATGATTTCTTCAAATACTTCTAAAAAGGGATTTGGACAAATCTTCAAACCTATGTAATAAAGTGGATAAATATTGTCTAATATCACTATTCAAATACAGTAGAAACGATTATCCAAAGATAACCAAAAGGTCATTATTCTCCAGTAAAATTAGCACATAATGTAATTTGAAGACTATTGTCTCAATAGCTCAATAAAACAAAGTCATATGAAACACAACAACATATTTCAGAAGTTTGGATAAACAAGACACATTTCAGAAATGAAAAGTTTATTGTGTCAAACTGCTCCTCAAGCTGGCAACTCAAATTGATGTTTAAATATCCTCTGAAAATGGTACTTTGACTAGATTACTTCTGAAAATATTGTGTTACTGTTATTCTACTTAAAACATTTATAACTTTTATTGATGCTACTAATGGCAACCCTAATAGCTAATAGTGTTGTTATATCATACTGGGTGCTGTTCTAAATGCTTTAGTGTAGGTATATTCATTTTTTCTTACCCACAGTCTCACGAGGCAATTCTATTATTATCTACCACATTGAAAATGTGAAACTGAGGCATGGAGAGGGGAAATGCACTGCTGAAAATCATGTGCACAGCAACTGCCATGAGGATTCTTTCTAATCAAGTGAGTGTGATTCCAGAATATTTGTCCACAAACACTATGGAATGCAATGTATCTTTCCATTTTTGCAAAAAAAGAATACTAATCTACATATTAGTTGATTCAAGCAATGAAGTTTTCAAAAATGTTTTATTTACATGCAGTTAACATTTTATCTCATCATAATATACCAACCAGCCTCTTATTTAACCAGTCCATGTGATCATAGGTGAGACTCCCACCAAAATCTTCTGTTAATTGGCATGGTTCTATATAACGGGTCAATTTATTGGCAGATACTAAAATAACCTACAATGAAAAAAAAAAAAAGAAACATTCAGTAAACCACTATTAAAGTCTATGAAAATAAGTAGAATTAGGTTATATGCAATCTTGTTTCAATGTGATGACATATATTTAGTTGATGCAACAGCATTTAAAATCAATCCAATAAATTATAGATGTCTGCCAAAAATCTATCAAAAAACTAGTTCGTTATTAGAGCATCACAGTTACACATAGTCATTGGATTTACCTGACAAGATCGTACAAACATGAAATTTGACTTACTCCCTTTCAGTTCCCACTCCCTTCCCTCTTCTCTCCCTCTATTCTCCTTCCTCTCCTCTATTCATCTTCCTTGCACTCACTTATTTTTGATTGGTGCTTTCTACATACAAAGGTGAAATTCCCTGTGGTATATTTATATACACACAAACTGATTTTTGTTAAATTCATTATGCATTTCCTTCCTTTCCAATACCTCCTCCCTCCCTCTTGATCTCCTCCCTCCACTCTAATCTTCCCAATATGTTTATGATATGATCCCCTGCTCTCCACCCCTCACCTTCTTTCCCCATTTTCCACTAGCTTCCACATGACAGAAAACATTTGACCCTTGATTTTCTTTCTTTTTTGATGCTAGGGATTAAACCCAGGGCACTTACCCACTGAACAACATCCCCAGCCCTTTTTTATTTTTTATTTTGAGACAGGGCCTCACTAAATTGCTAAGGCTTGCTTTGAACTTGTGATCCTCCTGCTTCAGCCTCCCAAGCCGCTGGGATCAACCCTTGATTTTCTGAGTCTGGATTATTTCACATAGCATGATATTTTCCAGTTCCATTCATATGGTTGAGTGAGATTCCATTTACATATAGCACATTTTCTAAATCCATTCATTTATTAACAGGCATCTGGGCAGATTCCATAATTTGGCTATTATGAATTGTGCTGCTATAAGCATTGTAGTAGCTATATTGCTCTAATATGCTGATTTTAGTTCCTGGTAAAAGTACAGCTGGGTCATATAGTGGTTCCATTCCTAGCTTTTTGAGGAATCTCCACACTCTTTTCCAAAGTAGTTGTACTAATCTGCAGTCCTGCCAACAATGTGTAAGTATATATTTTTCCCCCACATCTCATCAGCTCTATTATTATTTGTATTCTTAATCATTGCCATTCTGACTAAATGAGATGAAATCTTGTATTTCATTTAAACTAAATTCATTTAGTTTCAATTTGTATTCCCCTGTTGATAGAGATGTTGAATGTTTTTTCATATATTTGTTGGCCATTTGTGTTTCTTTTTTTGAGAAAAGTCTACTTTGTTCTTTTGCCTGTTTACTGATTGGGTTATTGGTGTGTGTTGGGGGAGAGGTGTTGTGTAACAGTTTTTACGTTCTTTGTATGTTCTGGATATTAATTCCTGTCAGAGGAGTAGCTGGCAAAGATTTTCTTCCATTCCAGATTCTTTCTTCATCCTCTTAAACACATCCTTTGTTGTGCAGATGCTTTTTAATTTGTTAAAATCCTACTTACTGATGTTATCAATAACATCATGGTTTTATTTCTTGAGGTTTAGGATCAAAAACCTTTGATAATACTAACATTTTAAAGAACAAAAGCTACTAGCCACTAGTTGAAATATTTTTTTAAATATTTAATCACTATTAACAATGTCTTAGTAATAAAAACTAATTCCTTAATGTAATGATGCAATCAGCAAAAAATTTTTATCTTAAAATTAGCTGGATATACTGAAATGATAATGAAATATTTTCTCGTCCAATCCTATAGAAACATGTGGTATCCAAACACCATTTCTCATTAAAAGGAATTGGGGTTCCTTGGAGATGAAGAAATATACTTCATGAGCCTGGAACATATTCTCATCCAGATTATAAAAAAAAAATCAAAGACCACTACAATGGTGCCAAAAGAGTTTGAAAAGACCTTCACAGATAAATATGTGACAATCTACACATCAGTAAGGATAACAATGCCATGGATTAAAATATTAAATGTGTTTAAATCATTGACCTTATACTGATACAAAAGAAATGATACTATGGAACAAACTTACTTAAAACCAGCAAATAAACAGAAATAAACATTTACCACTGGATGAACAAATAATACAAGTATTCAAGTCAGGAAACAAAGAAGGAATAGTAGAACTAGATCACAATTTTGCAATTTTTAATAAACTAAGAGATCAAGACACTGAACATCACTACCGTTAACATTATACACCAAAAAAAAAAAAAAAATCGAAAATCAACTTCTACCAATCTTGTGGCCCAGGAGCCCATCATCACCCTGTGAATGACCTTGGAAAAATAAGTCAGATCTGAGTGTAACCACTACCTAAATCCAACTTTCAATGTATGGAAATGCAGAGGTTGAAGAAAGCAGAAGAATAGGTCAGACTACACCATAGGGATGCTCATGACAATATGTACAGGATGGGAAACTACAGGACAGATCAATCTGTTCCAGAAAAGGATGAATTAAAAAGAGAGAGAGAAACCAAAGATTAAAAAGGCTTATCCAACAACAAATTCAGAATTTCACAACCAATATTAGGAGAACTATACATTCATTTCAAGCAAACATGAAGTATTTTAAAAACCTGTCTGCATATTAGTCCATAAAGAAAGCCTTGGTAAATTTCAAAGAAATTTACACATTATATCATGACAACAAAATCAGGCTAGAATTCAATAATCTAATCAGAAATCATTAAACTATTCTAAAACCATACCCACTTAGGCATCTCAACCAACCACATTGTATGGACATTGTTCAGATCATAATACAAAAAAAAAATCAATCAATCTCTATGTATGTATAATTTATATAAAAATTCTAAAATAAAACTTAAAATGTATTACACATAATTAACTTACATGTGACAAATAACATCTATCAGGTAATTAGAAACTCAAAACCTGCTGCCTCTTGATATTAAGAAATTTCTTTTAAGGTTAGATAATGCTACTAGGTTATATTTTGTAAAGAGTCTTTATGTTTTAGAGACACTAAAATATTTACAGATAAATTGATATATTACAATTTTTTTCACTGTAATATGGGTTGGAGAAAGGAGATAAAGGTTAAAGATGGGGCAGGACTAACCATGGGTTGATGGTTGTTGGACCTGAATATGGAGATACTCAGTTAACTATAATATTGTTTACCTGTTTACATTTTTGTGTTCAAAATTCCTCATAATAAAAAATTAAAAGAAACTAAAAGAAATACATAAAACTCTGTTTAACAAAAGAAAAAAAACTTCCCAGTAAGAGAATTTCAGGCACAGTTTACAAGGGAGTTTAATAGAAAAAAGAACAGGTAATTTTAATCTTAAATGTTTCCAGACCCCAGCAATGCCAGGGACATTCCCAACTGGTCTTATCATTCTAGAACAATGCTGATACCCGAGGACAATATAATAAAAAACTACAAGGGATCTGTTAAACTTTAAGGCTGCCAATAATAAGTGTTAGCAAGACTATGGAGCAAGAAGAATTCCTATACACTCAGGTGGAAATATAAATTAGAATGCCTGTTTAGGAAACAATTTGGCATTATCATATAAAGCTGGACATTTCTATAACCTATATGTGGTGCTGAGAATCAAACCTGGATATTCAGGAAAAAGAAAATCTTGAACATATTTATTAGGAGACATATACAATAATGTTCATAGAAACATCATAAATAATGGCAAGGATGAAAACAACACCAATGTCCACCAATGGAGACTGAGTAAATTGTTTTCATTCCAGCAGTGAAAATTAACCTGCTACATTGGCAAAAATATGCATAAATCTTACTAAGTATATTATCTTGGAATAAACAATATTCATCAATTAATATTCACACAATTACAGATATAACCAAATACTAAGATTAGAAACCCCACATTCTTCTAAGGTTTTGTTTTTTAAAGGTAAGTCTTTTAACCTACGCACAAAGAATACAAAGATGAACAGACCTGAGTTCGAGGTTGTATCATGTGCTAAGGTAGGTGAATGGGGCCAGGAGGGCTCACTGATTTGTTTCAAGGTATAAGTATTTGGGTTCTTGGCTGGGTGGTAGGTATTGAGGAGGGCTGCTTCATTATTAAGCTTCATTTTGTATATTATATATAAAAAAACATACATTTAAAAAAATATACCAAATACTACATTAGAAAAAAAGAAGAAAGAATCAATGGGCTGGGGTTGTGGCTCAGTGGTAGAGCACTTGCCTTGCATGTGTGAGGCACTAGGTTCGATTCTCAGCACCACATATAAATAAATAAAGGCCCATTAACAATTAAACATAAATTTAAAAAATAAAAGAATTAAGATGAAAGGAGAACAGCTGACAGAACAAGACAGGATGAGATCTCAACCTTAAGCCGAAGAAATGGCAACTCTTCTGAGGTAGCAGGTGAGGAGGTTGGATAAAGAGCAAAGAAAAACTGGAGAACACAGACAGGAAAGCTGAGGGGCTCGTGTGCTTTTTTTCCATTAAAAAATAAGACAAAAAAGAACACCAAATTACATTTTGGTTGGTTAAATAACGGCAAACTATATCACACCTATTTTGCACGGAAATTTAATATTCTCTCTAGTATGAGGAGTTTGCAATAACTCCAATTCACTACTTATTTATGTATTAAAGGGAACCAATTTAAAATAAACATCTTAGAATACAAATGACACTGAAAATGAATTTCACTTAGTGGAAAACTTGTCACAAAGGGCTTTATTTTATCCTCTTTTGCACTGGAGTCCAGGTAGAGTTAGCCCACAGGAACTATTCAATCTGACAAGAGACTGGGATCCACACACAGACTTTCACACCACGGAGATTGAACACAATCAAATCCCAGGAAGGAGCTTTTCCTTTCTCCAAAAGCTTCAAAAGCTTTTCTTTTCCTCCTTTCCTTTCTACTAACTAGAAATACACAAATAATGAAACCAAGAAATATGTCTATTCCGTAAGGAAAAAAACTACTTGCTAAATTTTCATTT